TGCTTGAACTTCGACTGCGACTGTTAAACCAACGACTGCCAGCAGCTCTGCGCATTTTGTCGGCAATCAGTTTCTGCTTGTGCTTCGACTGCGACTGTCGTCTTGTTCCGAAGCATAAGCATAAGCAAAAGTTAATGAAATAAAACTCATTACAGTTTTTTAAACACTGCCGCTAATCGGCTCTTTCTGATTTCGACAGCATCAGCTGTGTGCGTGTGACGTCATCTTGGTGTAATTGTTGATTGAAGAAAACCAAATAACGATTTAACTGGGAACGGTTTAGTTATTTGCCCAATGATTTGAGGCTATTGTGTCCGAATGGGTGACCCGAGCAAAAAAAATTTACACACACTTGTAGCCAAGGGTATACACTTTATTGTGAAACCTAATTTTGTAATTTGCGGTCACTAGTTTATTATAAATTCGGTCTGAAAAATTCACTTTTTTTAATTTCGGAGTGAGTTCTACGCAAATATACTGTGGAGGGCGCAGCCGGAGCTATATGCACAATAAATGTTGAATACCTTTGACAAGAGAAAGGTATTCTGCACAAAAATACTGTTTATCGAGTTTACATTCCAGTGTCAAAATGCTAATTTTAGACCATTTTCCAATGGTTCCCAGGGGTATGTGGAAGGTTTCAAGAAATCAGATGTGACTTTTTACGAAGTGTGAACTGCGCTCTTTCTAGTGGGTTAGACATCAAAACCCACGCACCCTCCCCCTCCGCCAACTAACCCAAAGACAGTAGGTTGGGTAGCGCCCATATGTGGCACAAACAGCGTTGCTGAATTGACGATTTCGTCGTCATTTTGACGTCTATTTATATTAATTTTGTTCACATAACGGTTGTTTGTAAAGGCCATAACGAATCGAGATACATAGATATAGACAAATGTATACATAAATGCTCAGAATGAAGAGGGAAGCCGATTAAGCCATGTCTGTCTGTCCGTCCGTCTGTCCGTGTACACGATAACTCGAGCAAAAATTTAGATATCTCAACGACATTTGGTATGCCAGTTTCCACTTATCCAAGGTAGGTTGGAATTGAAAATGGGCGAAATCCAAGAATGAAGAAGATTGCGCCAATGAGAGAGGATTTTTGAGCGTATTTTTTGCGTGACGTCATCTTGGTGCAATTGCGAGAGAGAAATGCCAAAACGCATATAAAAATATGTAAACAATGCAGAAAAATTTGTTAATTTTAATATTACATGGCCCAATTTTGCAGGAATCAATAAATATGGAAAGATTGATTAATTAGAAACACGTAACAACAATTTTGGTCATGTAGCCCTTTAGGTAAGTACGATTTTTAGCACATGAAAAAATGGATGTATTAACAGTGTTTGCAATTTCATGTAGACCAAAAGGAAGGTGTGCAGCAAAGTGAATTTTTGGACTCGCCATTGTAAAAAGCATGCAGAGTGCATATTTATATTTGTAGCCAACCACCATAAACTCCACAGCTGTTGACTCCACAGCTTTTATTTGATGACTTTTGTACCATGCAATGCAATTAGTATGAAAATACACAATAGGGGTATTCTCCAAATCTTGCAAAGCCATTGCACGTAGCACGGATTGCACGGATTGCATAAATTGCAAACTCACAACAAGAAAATTCATGGGAAACAACATTTCCTATCGCTGCAAAATATGCAACGTCGAAACCCATAGGGCTATTCGCGATTCGGTGCATAAGAGCTGACAAATTTATGCAATTGCAGAAATATGCCATGGATTGTGAGCGACCTTTATTAAACTGTNGAACTGCTTCCACTTTTTCCCCAGATTTCCGTCCGTAGGAAACGAAAAAAAACTTATATCGCACGCTTTCCTTTTGTTTTCACTATTACACTTTACCACGGCACACTTCATTTTGCTTTGTAATATCTCAATAATTGTTTAAAACCTCGCAGAAACATTAACGCACAAATATTAAAATTGTTATTTGGTTTTTTCGTATGCTCACAATCAACAATTGCACCAAGATGACGTCACGCACACAGCTGATTCTGTCAAAACCACAAAGAGCGGATTAGCGGTACCGCGATTGGCGCAATCTCTATTTCTCTCAATCGTGGGCGAAATCGCACTGTAACCCCGCCCACTTCCCATAAAACGGTAATTTTCACAAATACGAAAACTGCGATATTTTAGTAACTACTGGAGAGTATTCACTTAAAACCGATATTTACAATAATTTTCAGACGAAAAATAAGAATATTATAAATTTTTNGAAATCGCACTGTAACCCCGCCCACTTCCCATAAAACGGTAATTTTCACAAATACGAAAACTGCGATATTTTAGTAACTACTGGAGAGTATTCACTTAAAACCGATATTTACAATAATTTTCAGACGAAAAATAAGAATATTATAAATTTTTGGAAAATGGGCGTAGCCACGCCCACTTATGGTTACATGTGTATATCTTGGTAACCGCTGCACCGATTTCTTCCAAACATGGCACAGTAGGTGGCCTTGGTACAACAAACAAAATGGCCGAAAATTTCTAAAATCGGACAGTGACCACGCCCACATCCCATATAACGGTAATTTAGAGAATTCGAGCTTTTCTAGAAATTCTAAAAAAATTAAAGCTAATTTATCCAAAACTGACGCTTGCAACAATTCTTTACCAAGAAATACGTTTATGATAAAATTTTNAGGTGGCCTTGGTACAACAAACAAAATGGCCGAAAATTTCTAAAATCGGACAGTGACCACGCCCACATCCCATATAACGGTAATTTAGAGAAATACAAAATCTTTGATAAATCAGTAAATATTAAAGCTAATTTATCCAAAACTGACGCTTGCAACAATTCTTTACCAAGAAATACGTTTATGATAAAATTTTGGAAAGTGGGCGTGGCACAACAACTCGGTAACCGTTCTTCCAATTTGTACCAAACTCGATATGGTTATTGTGCTTACCACATAAAAGCAAAACGTTGAAACTTATTGAAATCGGACTAAAATTACGGCCGCTTTTCATATAACGGTAAATTTCAGAAATGCTTGAAACTTCAATATTTCGAAATTTAAGGACGCTAATTTACTCAAAATTTATACACCCCGGCTTACCATGTAGCGGCAGCTTTCGGAGAGGTGAAAAACATATATTTAATACTTGCGCCGGATATTTAATGCTCGGCTCCGCCCGAACTTAGACTTTCTTACTTGTTTATTTTAGTGCATAGTATGTATGAACAAAAATTGTTAAAGGAAAACGTAATCCAAAATACAAGCGTGGATTTATCTAGTCTTCTTTTACAGCCGTGCTTTTAGTTATATTTAATTTGTTCTAGAATTGTAACCAAATCGTAAATTTTCACTGCTGACACTCATTTGAAAGAGAAAGAAAAATAGGAGAGAGAATTTTTTCAATTAAGATAATCAGATCAGTTAACAAATGCTCCCGTTACACTCTGAAACTAGATCAAAATCTTCTAAGAAACCTCAAGCAAGTGGTATTAAACAATTTAAAAGTAGTTGTGTTTTAAATTGTAATTTGAAATTGTTGTTATCAATTACAAATTAACTTTTTAAAAAGGAGGAGGCTATAAATTCGTCGGGATATTATTCTGCCTTATCCTGAGTTTCGCCCGAAAAAATATTCACCCAAAAATTTTTCATCAGCCCATAGTTAATACATGGAAACGAAAAGTGAAAAGTGAACCGGTTCGGGGAAAAATGAAACTCATGATAAGGCTGATTATTTTTTTTTCTATATGTATGTTATCGCATAACTTTGGACCACGTTAAGCGATTTCTATAACCCTTTTTTTAAAGAAAAGGTGGTACCTCAGAGGTGGTCCCATACTAGTGAGGTTTAGATGCGATCATTTGATAATGAAGAAATTACGGGAATCTTAAATTTTTATATGACGATTGAAGTCGGTTTTGTTCTTGCTCAAAAATTAATTGTATTAACCCATATGCAATGGGAACCCACATTGGATTTATAATGCGTGGTCATATTTATTGTAATTTTGTTTTTATTTTTTATTGTTAAAAAAAGTAAAGTAAATAAAAATTTGACGTTTTTTTTTGGCCGAGATGACGATTTATTTGGGGTAAATTGACGATTTTTCAGCGAAAGCTTTCGGCAACGCTGGGCACAAAGCAGAACAAAAATAATATTAAACTCACTCAAATTTCATTATAGGTGTTCTGAAAAAACCATACCGTGGTCAAAATATTATGGCCGAACCACTTTTTGCCGAGTTTTAACATATTATTTTTGTTGTTATTTAATTTTGGTTATTTTTGTCTTTAACAAAACCCGTGTAAATCCAAGGTACCAACTTTGTGCAATATTAAAAAAATTCAACAAACTTTCGTACAAATTTCGAGCTTTTCTAGAAATTCTAAAAAATCAACCGTAATTTTTAGCCATTTGAAACTTGTACTTTATTCTATTAGAATTAAATGGGCTACAAAACTCCATACTCAGATTCTAATTAAAAACTAGAAAATTCGTTGGTTTTTTTTTTTGCATAACTTTTAAAGGTAGGGGGTCACTCGATTGGTACATTTGTACAGATTTGTGCATTTGGGCTATTGGTACAAAATAAAAAAATTGGGAAATTTTTTAACAACAAAGACTGCTTTATCGATCACATTTTATATGTAAGATATCGAAAACGTTGAGAACGATGTTTAACTGGGAGGTAGTGAAAACCGCTGTGGTGTAGTGGTAAGCAGTGCGCGCTTCCACTCCGCAACGCCTGGGTTCAAGCCCTGGTCAAAGCAACATCGCAAAAAATATAGAAAAAAGGTTTTTTCTTAACAGCGGTCGTCCCTCGGCAGGCAATGGCAAACCTCCGAGTGTATTTCTGCCATGAAAACCAGCTTCTCATAAAAATACAATCGCCGTTCGGAGTCGGCGTAAAATTGTAGGTCCCTCCGCTTTGTGTGACAACATCAAGGCGCACGCCACAAATCGGAGGAGAAGCTCGGCCAAACACTAACATATGTGTAAGCGCCAATCTATTATTATTATTAGTGAAAACCAGACACTAAACAACCGGCCCTAAAAGTTTTGACCGTACTGGTTCCGAAAATGATCACATATTTAGCTTAAGTTTTTGCGTAAATCTAATAAAGTTTTTGCTATTCTTAAAAAAACGGCTCTGCTTTTCAAAACAATGAAAACTGTGATTTCCGGAGAAACTGAGCGTATATCTTGAAAATTTAAGGAGATATCAAAATTTGTTGCCATATTTATATTCAGCACCCAGAAGCCAGTGTTGTTAGCTTTGAAATTTCAAAAAGCACCAAAACTTGGGAAAAAAGCGTTTTACCACACTAAAAGCACTAAATCTTTTTTTGTACCAAAGGATACTTTTTTCATAACAGTTTGTATTTAACAAAAGCAAAGAAATGAACAATATTTACAAGTATAAATCAATACACAAAACTTTTTCGCTCATAACGATTGAATAGCCCCTAGACATAATATGATTCAAGCTTACGAAGTAATACCGAAGTACTGCACATTAAAACTGGTATATCACGAGAAAGAAAAATGGAATCGCAACAAACGAAAATCAAATTTAAAGGAGAAGAGTAAATGATGCCCTAAGTAGAAATGAGCAAGCAAATTTTTTATTTCCATAATATAACCTCAAATATCGCGAAAACCCGTGCTTTTGACACTTTGAGGCTAGGATATCTTCTGACGTGCTGGAGAAACTCCGCACCGTGATTTGGATTCAGCACAAAAAAAGCTAGAAGAACCGATAAATATTTCATTATTTGTTATTATTTCATGTTTTAACTATATATCAGAAATCTGAGTTCAGAAGAAAAGTACTAAAAAAGGCACTAGGCACTACACCAGTTCATTTGGCGTTTTAATTTTCAAAAAGCACTAAATCTAGTGCTTAAAGTAGCAAGTTGGCAACTATGCCAGAAGCACATTTAGGGTCGGTTGTTCAATGTCCGGTTAATACAAATCGGAGGTAGAAGCTCGTTTTCGTACATACTACGAAAATATGAGACATCAGATCTTCAGTACATTTTACGAATGCATTCGTACTATTTACTAACGAATTGCATACTATTTACTAAAGAATTTCATGCTATTTCTTTTTTTTACGAAAATGCACAAAAATAATTCGTATATTTAACGAAATTATCTTCTTAATAACTGCGCTTGCTTCGTAGTATGTGCGATTGCTTTCATTCTAAAAAACATAGTACGAATTATAACACAACACTTTTATTTTGTTTTCTTCGTTAATTTTAAGTGTTTTTGTTTACCAAATGTTTTGCAAAAACGCTTAACATTACTGATTAAATTATAATGAAAGTGTTGTGTTATAATTTGAGCTATGTTCTTCATAGTGTAAAGAATAAAAGCAATCATATATTCCACGAAAGAAGTGCAGATATTACAAGTATAACTGTCGCAAATAATAGGATTTACCTAAATTTTCTAACTACACTCTAGTTTAAATTAATGAAAAAGGTTATTTTACCTATAATAAAACTTAGTCTATTATTTATATGCATAGGAATAGGTTCTATACTTCATATTTATTTATTGTTTAGCCTTCATTCAATAAAGTTTATTGATGCAAAGTGTTAAATCATGAAACTCAACAAAACTCTTATTAAATATAAAATATGAAAGAATTGAATATAAAAAAGACTGGCTTTTCTTTCTTAAACATTATAGTATTTTTATGTAGAGGTACTTGGCAGATTCACAGCTTCTTCGATGCTTGTTTCCTTGATGACTTTAAATTAAAGGAAAATTACAAGGCGTCTGAAAGGCAAGTTTCAGTGAAATATCATACATGTACTTACTTTTAATTTCATTAACTAGTGCGTCTGTTCCTAGCTTGGCCTTGCCGTTGATAGGTAATAGCCCAGATGCATACATATAGCGTTTTCTTTTCTCGAATTAATGTTGCATTTATTGTGCCCTGCGCCAGGGCTGTCAAGTTTTCGTGATCTTTTCTCAGCATCTCCACATGCATATGCGTGCTGTTTCTTTAAAAAGTTGCACTCCTATAATGTTGCCATATAAGAAGGTGGCATTTTTTCGAGAAAAGAAAGCGCCATTAGCTTTGCGTGTAAGCGGTTACACAACGCATAGCACTTAGCATGTAGAATTCTGTTAGGTTTTGATTTTAACGTAAAAATGGTATAGCAGTGCAAGTATGCATAACTGGGCTATAACTGATGAAATTGCCTATTTATGAAGTCCCACATTACAGCGCGTAGGCTCAGCGTAGGTGATGTAAAAAATATTGTATGCTTAAAAGTTTATATCCACAGCACAGCTTTAATATTTAATTTTGTATTGTATTTTTATCCAGAAAATTCCTTTTCAAAACGTTTAAAATTATATTATACGTCTCACAGCAGCCAACCAGTAATTTCGCAATGACACGCCCTACATAAATATATGATGAAATATTAATTGCCGGTAATATAGTATATTGTACGAAAATATTCGTACGTTGTACGAATTTAAAAAACATGTTTCCGCATTAGTACTATGTACGAAAGTATTAAGTAAATTGTACGAATACAGATTTGCAGATTTTGTAAATTATAAAAGCATACGTGAATATTACGAATGCCTTCGTACAATATACAAAATTATTGGTACAGAGATTTGTTCAGTAATTTACGAATGTGTTTCGTAAACTAAACGTAAGATTTCGTAAATTGTACTGAAAATTTGCCTTACGGAAGTCTTTTCGTTATATTTACGAATGGGCCGTAAAATTTGTTTCGTTTTGAAAAATTTGTTCGTATTATGAACGAAAGTTTCGTACATTGTACAAAATCCAAGGCTACGAAAGTTTTTTGTAGCACGATATTTTATTTTAAGTGTATGCATAAGTCGAAATCTGGTAGGTAGCAGCGTTGCCAGAATGTTTTGGAGCAACCGGCTAGATTGGACAAAAAAAAAACGGCTAAAAAAGGCTAAAATATTTGAACTAGAATTCACATGTTTTATATAAATACAAAAATTACAATTAGAAAGACTAGTAAATCCATTAAATTTTTTTTTGGTTAACAAAGACATACGTAGCTAAGCTGTACACCACTTTATTTTTGTTTAACAAAGGAAACTGTCGTTATACTTAGCTAAGCTTTACATCAGAAGTCATGTTTGTATTACTTATATATAAAAAAAAGATACATAAATTACAACCTTATGGCGTTTTCTTTTCTATTGAACAATTTTGCCTTCTTATAAATATTGTAATATTTGCAGTAGGTTGCTTTTGGTCCTGCAAAATGGCTATACTAGCAGAAAGTAAGGCACTTTGGCTTAGTCGACGGGCAATATTTTGAGAAATGAATACGTAAAGCTGTGAAAGGGCTGAGGCAAAAAGGGCAACATTATTTCGAGAAAAGAAAACGCCATGATATAAAGCAGAAGGTATGTAGTTTAATTTATTGACATTCGTTGTTTTTGCCGACCACTTCACTTTTAACAAGTTTATGACTATTATAATAATTTAACTAAAATCATGCTACCAGATTCACTAGCAGCAAAATTTTTGTTTCTTGTAAAGTAAAAGAAAATTTTGCAGTTAGTGAATTTGGATGAAAATATTAAGTCTTGCGCGTTTCCAAACTGCCAGAATTCGGTACACCTTAGCAAAGGTTCGAAAATAAAGTTGTTTGCCTTTCCGTGGATAGAGTACGTAAATAATACAATCTAATGTAGTTTAATAAAATAAAATAAAGACTTCTGTTTGAAATATGCNTGTTTTATATAAATACAAAAATTACAATTAGAAAGACTAGTAAATCCATTAAATTTTTTTTTGGTTAACAAAGACATACGTAGCTAAGCTGTACACCACTTTATTTTTGTTTAACAAAGGAAACTGTCGTTATACTTAGCTAAGCTTTACATCAGAAGTCATGTTTGTATTACTTATATATAAAAAAAAGATACATAAATTACAACCTTATGGCGTTTTCTTTTCTATTGAACAATTTTGCCTTCTTATAAATATTGTAATATTTGCAGTAGGTTGCTTTTGGTCCTGCAAAATGGCTATACTAGCAGAAAGTAAGGCACTTTGGCTTAGTCGACGGGCAATATTTTGAGAAATGAATACGTAAAGCTGTGAAAGGGCTGAGGCAAAAAGGGCAACATTATTTCGAGAAAAGAAAACGCCATGATATAAAGCAGAAGGTATGTAGTTTAATTTATTGACATTCGTTGTTTTTGCCGACCACTTCACTTTTAACAAGTTTATGACTATTATAATAATTTAACTAAAATCATGCTACCAGATTCACTAGCAGCAAAATTTTTGTTTCTTGTAAAGTAAAAGAAAATTTTGCAGTTAGTGAATTTGGATGAAAATATTAAGTCTTGCGCGTTTCCAAACTGCCAGAATTCGGTACACCTTAGCAAAGGTTCGAAAATAAAGTTGTTTGCCTTTCCGTGGATAGAGTACGTAAATAATACAATCTAATGTAGTTTAATAAAATAAAATAAAGACTTCTGTTTGAAATATGCACTTTTTTTGTAAATTTGGAGGTGGATTTTGCGCAAAAATACTGTGGATGGAGTAACCGGAGTTGTACTGATGAGGTTATATCTTCTAGCGCGGCCGAAGGCCCCCAACGTGGAAATAATAATAACAAAAATGAAGTATGTTTGCACCATGATGCAATTATTCACAGGTATTGTCTTCCCAGGGAGTTTTTCTCCAAATTGAAATTCGTGCTCTTTTATCTTCTAAGTGCTGCGAATAAAACTTCAAACTTAAATTTAAGACATTCATAACAAACATTTTATGAAGAAAATACCCGCTACATCCTCCCAAATATAAACTTGGATGCGACATTTAAACAAGTTTTGTCTAATTTTTTTAATGTATTTAATGTTTATTATTTGTTTATGAATACGTATATATGTAGCTATGTATGTTACTTAACAAACACCATATACTACATCCAGAATTCAGACTTTGTGTAAAAATTATGAAACTTCTGCAAAATTTCAGCAAAATTTGTAACTTTTAATCAGCTAAAATGGCACGTCTCAGTTGATATGTGTTTGGGTCACTCGCTTAAAACAAACAACATTGAAATCGGCTTACTATCTGAATACCAATCGGGTATTGTAATTGTCTTTCAATTTTATATAACAAAGTCCGCCATGAAAATATTCTCCAAGATAAGGCTAGCCATTTCTAATAGATTTTGGATCACTAAATTAGTAAAAGTAGAAATTTATATATTTGAATTTTAATAAAAGAAGGCGAATTGCAAATACCGAAATCGGCTAAAAACGGCTAATTTTTTTTTGCAAAACGGCTAGCAAATCGGCTGCCGGCTAAAACGAATTTTCTCCGGCTATTTGCTATCGCTACCGGCTAAATCTAGCCGGAAAACGGCTAAAATGGCAAGACTGGTAGGTAGTGCTAACCAGACATTGAAAAACCGGCCCAAATGTTATTAAAAAATATTAAATTGCCCACTAGCTTACAGGCACTTTTGACCACTTTTTGAAAAATTTCATGAATATGCTGGACCTTAGGGCTAGGCCTGGGTAACGGCGCAAATTTTTTGGCGCTGACACCCTAACTCCAGCGCCACTGTCGGAATCAGCACAGTGTGTTGGCGCAATTGCGCCTCTTCAGGCTAAAGCTCATTTCCTTTATTGCTCCACGCTGCACCAAAGTGAATTAATACAAGGTGATATCGGTTGAGAAAAAACTTAAGTGTACCCAAGTTCAAAACCCAAAAATACAATAAACCCATCATTTTCACATTCAGAAGGACCGCGACGAATTCTAGCAACACCACCTTGTATAAATTCGCCTTGTGCTGCACATTTTACAAGATACACTTCTATTTCGGGTGTTTTTGCTGGTTCTTTGCGACACCCGGTGTTGTCAGTGTGTCGGTGTTAAACTAACGTGAATTAATACAAGGTGGTATCGGTTGGGCAAAAACAACTCAATAATACCCAAGTTCAAAACCCAAAAATACAACAAACACATAATTTACACATTCAGAAGGACCGTGGCTAATTTTAGCAACACCACCTTGTAAAAATTCGCCTTGTGCTGCAGATTTTTGAAGTGACACTTCTTTCGTGTGTTCTTTGCTGGTTCTTTGCGCCGCCCGGTGCTGTCAGTGTTCCGGTGTTGCTGGCGCCATTGCGTCACTGAGTTGTGAAAATCGGTATCGGCGCCGTTAACTCAGCTCTCGGTATCAGCTCAATGGCGCGGCGCCGCACGGTGTTACCCACGGCTCTTAGGGCCTTTGAGGCACGTCTTTCCGTTAGAAGATATTAAACATTTTTCGCAATTCTAGGGGGAGTCCAGCTCTTTAGCTTAACAATAAATTGTCTCCATACAAATAAGGCGCGTCTAATGTGCTTATGTACATATATGTATTTATACTATAATTTTACAGTATGATGCTGTTTGCATTGATGTCGCTGTATCCCCTCACCCTCCCCACCTTTTTGATGCTCGTGTTGGGGTATTATCAGCGTTGACTCTTTCGTTGAGTACGACGAGTACGAGTATTTCAATCCAGTTGTTATTGCGGTCTTTGTGTTGTTTGCTCATTTTTTATGGTTTATTCATGTACATATATACTTATGTATGTATGTTGTGTGTTTTTTAGCCGAGTGAGTGACTGGCGGGCAACTCGTTGCCATGGTACTGCATACAGACAAACGGAACTGGTAACCAGATACAAACAGACAAACTGGCGGCAGGGTTGGACAGCGGCTTACGGCCGATTAAATTGTTAAATGGCTCGTTAGCTTCAAATCTCAACAGGCGTTGTCAAGAAAGGCGTGAAGCGTGGTAACTACATACCATTGTTGCCACAGACAATTTTTTTCCTAGCAATATTTCCTACCATAACCTACCAAACATTTTTTTGAGCTTTTAATATTTTTTTTTGTCCAATTTCATATTTATTAAAAACATAGATAACATAACATTTAGTAAAACTAAAACA